GGTTCGAACAATCCACGCTTGGTGATGAAGGCAGCCTTCCATTCGTCTCCTTGACGAATTCAGACATTGGTGTATGCTCCACGAATGTCAAGCTTCGCGAAATACTTGGCATGGCGGAGTCGATCCATTAGGTCCGATATAAGTGGGAGTGGATAGGTGTCCTTAATCGTTCCTTCATTCGCATAGCGGTAGTCCTGGCATGGACGTAGCCCACCATCTTTCTTTCCTACAAAGAAGAAAGGTGATGCCATTGCAGATTGCGAAGGACGAATATATCCTTTTGCAAGGTTTTCGTCGATAAAGGCATTCATAGCTTCTTCTTCCGGCTTTGATAGATTATAGACCTTTCCTCATTTAGGAACAAAGTCCGGTTTGAAGTCTATGTTGTGATCGTAAGATCTATGCAGTGGTAACCGTTCCGATGCTTTTTCTTCGAAAATCCACTTGTACTTGAGGAGATACGATGGTATCGTTACTTTCTTTTTTGAGTTCTTCTTCTCTTCAAGTGCTTTCTTTTGTGCAAGTTCCTGCGCCTTGTTTGATGCCTTCCAGAAGGTGTCACCGTCTTTCCGTGTCTGGTGAGGATCCTTTTTGGAAGTTATCATTGGACATTGATTCGCTTCATGTCCTGACTTCCTGCACTGGTAACATAGTCGTTTCTTGACTGATGTTTGATTTGTTCATCACAGTGCAAGATACTGCATCTTTCTTTCTACAGCTGAGCGACGTTCTTTTATTTTGAACATAACTTCTTGGAGTATGCCAGTATCAGGTTGATAGGCGAAAATAGCTTCTTTTTCTCCTATTTTATGATCCTCCAAGTACGGTGCTCCTTTTATGTATGCAAGCAAGAGGTCCGAGTCAACAGTTCCTGCTTCATCTGGTGTGGGATCGACATCAGACCAGTTGATCCTTCTCAAGGTTCGCTTGGCTTTGGCTTTCTCCTTTTTGGTGATTGGAAGACGGACAGCGTTTTTATTTAGGCCATGGTTCCTCGTCCGGTACGTCTTCTACATATTGACGGACCTTGACTTCACCCGTTTGCCAATTGATAATCGGGCTATGATCATGTAGCCATGTATTGCCAATGATCACGTCTTCTTTTCCTAAGTCGATGACAAGGAAGTCATCATTCCATTCGTACATTCCTGCATGAACAGTTCCTTTGAATTGTTGGTTTGTAGAGTTGATGGGACTTCCATCGACACTGCGAATCTTGACTTCCTTCTGCGATTTGAGAAGATGAAGTCCTGCTTTCATCGCAAATGATTCATTGATGAACATTCCTTTTGCTCCAGAATCAACTAAGGCTCTTGCTGGAATACTTCGGATTTTTGTGCCATCGTAATCTTGGAAGACGATATTGAGGTATATTTCGCTTCCTCGTTTGATATCACCTCGTATGATTACTTCCTCGGGGACCGTTTCTTTATCTGGGTGCCATGAGATCCCAACATGCACCCAATTCCAAAACCCTCTGGATCGTCTTTTTCCATGGGTGGTGGATATCGGCGTGCATATTCATATCTGTCTGAATTGTTTCTGAATTCCAGAAGATCGTTGAGATGGGGCATCGTCATGTTGCGTTTCTTAATTCGGTCTCCTCGCATTTTGAGTGCATCTTCCCGTCGTATTCTGGCAAGTTCTTCTTTGGGGATGAATCTTCGAACCACATATGACTCTTCTTCTGAGTCACTGGACTCATCCTTGGTTCACCTGATTTTGCGAACTGTTTTGGTTTTAACAGGGCAAGTTCTTCGTACCCTGTGAACAACCATTTCTTGTTCAGATACTTCTTCAGATTCTGATGATTCAGATTCTGATTCTTCCGATGATGAGGATTCTGATTCTTCCTGTTCCGACTCCTCCGAGTTATCCTCAGAGTCGCTTTCTTCGACCCTTTTTACTCATCGTCGTTACCTCTCCGTTCCCTTGGAGTAAGATTTAGTCGACTTGGAAGTCTTTCTTCATCTGCCAGATCCGGAGTATTTCTTCGTCCTGGAATTGGACGTCTTGGTTTTGGCATATGAAGCTGTCTTTCCTGAGCGATCTGGTGCCGGATCATATTCTGGACTTGTGCATTGTGCAGCGACGTGTCCTGACTTTCCACAGTTGTAGCAGAGTCCACCCACAGAACGTTTCTGATGGGTTTCTGGGGAGATCCGGTCAACGTCCATGGCGTCAGGGTCCTTCTCCGTCCTTCTTCCACTTCCTGAAGAGCCTGAGATGAACTTGAAGATATTTGTCTTTCCGCTATGAATGTCCTAAAGGTCCGTGACCTTTCTTGCGGCCTTGCATGCTGCTGCATAGGTCGTTGGTGGACTTTCAGTGATGAAGACTTTTTCTGCAAGTTTCTCATTAAGGCCTCGTTTGAAGTGGATGAGCTTGGCGTATTCGTCGTCGATTTCAGCATATCGGTAGAGGATATCGAGATTTCTAATATACTCGTCAACGGTTTTCTTGTCCTGCTTGTACTTTCCTTCGAGAAGTACTTGCCAAGCTTGGTCCTTGGTTGCGACACCTCCATAATTTTCGGTAAGCGTCATCTTGAAATCTTGGCACGTCCCAAGGTTGCTGTGTTTTGCCATTTGGTTGGCTTCCCATGACTCGGCCCACTTTCCTGCTGTGGATGAGGAGTTAATTTGAGAGAGGATGAAGGCAATTTTGCTGAAGTCATCATTGTAGACTCCCGCGTTTGTCTGTAGGTATCGTTCCACATTTCGGAGGAACGATGCATATTCTCGTTTGTCTCCCCTAAACTCCTTAATTTTTCCCATCTTCTTTTCCCGTGCCACTGGCTGCTTGGGGATTGCTCCCTGGTATTGTGCATAGAGTCCCAATGCTTGTTGGTACTTATTCCAGATGGCGTCGGTGCAAGTTCCAGGATGGACTGGTGGTCCGAGAGCCGGGTTGTATCGTGCATGTGTGGCCATACTTCCTGAGAACTGGAAGCTACTGGTCAGTCTTGATCCAGTTGAAACTGAACGTGTGATTCCAGGCGCATTGGGTAGGTGGGGTGGCTGGTCCCTTCTAAGATGTGTGATTCCTGGATAATCTGGTCGAGTAGTACTGTCCGAGATAGATCTCTCGAGCGGAACTGCTCTTGTTCCGAGAGGATTAACTGGCTGTAATCCACCGGTTTCCTGTGAACGCCCTTCCTGTCATTCAACTTGGATTGCTTCTCCTCGTGGAAGTTCTGTTGCTTCATCAAAGGCTCGTAAAGATTCTTCATTGAAGTTTTCCCTTCCGCGAAGAACTTGTCTTATTTCTTCGATCTCACCCTCGAGCTGCTCTAGCCTCAGGTGATCTGTTGGTTCGTAGGCTCGTCCTAGCCTAAATTGAAGTCGAAGTTGAACCGCTTCTGTCGACTTTTTGTCGTAGAGGTCTGTTAACTCCTCTGTGGTGGCGTCACTGAGCGTAAATGGTGGTACTTCTTCGTCAGAAGTCACCGGTCGTGTTTCTGGTGTATCTTCCTCAGATACTTGATCGTGTTCCCGTGGAGCACTCGTTTTGAATCTTGTCTTGTCCTAAGATTTCTTAATTGCCTTCCCTGGGAAGGGCTTTAGCACGTCTTCAATGTGTGCCTCAGATGAGGGCTTCTCTTCTGGATTACCACACGAGTAATTGCTAGTGCTTGAGTTCGTTCCTGTAACAAAAACTCCGCACTCCTGCCTTTTGATCTTTGGTGGCCCTTAACCAATCTTGTACACCTTTTTGATTTGCCTGGTAGCGTCAACCAGTCAGAGTCCTAGTCTTCTTTTCTAGACCTCGGATATCCTGTGCTCGCTTTTTAAAGTGCCCAGCTAGTCACTTTGAACTCCTGCTTACTCCCGTTTGAGCGCTTGGTCATTCTGGCTTTTGATTTCCTCTGCTTGATGTCCTATAACCAATCGTCCTTCCTATCCGTGTTTTCTCGATTGAAAACCGGCCTCGGCAAGGTCTGGGTGCCTGCTTTCGGTAGCCCTTAACCAGTGTCTTCTGTATACCCAGCACCTCCGGTGAGGATGGGGCTCAAGTCGACACTGCCTTCAGCAGGTACCTTGCCGCAACAAGTACCCAGGTTCCATTTCTCCGAGAATCTCCTGTCTGGCGAAGTACCATAGCGACGGCTACTTCAGAGTGGTTCTCCCTGTTTTTCCCTCTATGGATGAAGTACCATAGTGACGGATACTTCAGAGTGGTTCTCCCTGTTTTTCCAAGTGGTGCAGAGGCCGCAACATGCACCGAGTTCCCTAGAATTGGATACCCCTGTTTGAGGACTTGATGGAATTGTTTTTCTGTAGCGTCCAAGTAGACCCCACTTCTTGTAAGTGGTTCTAAACCTAAGCAGGTTGACCTATAGAAAAACCTCTTCCAAATGTTATGAAGTGTTCCCTGCTAGAACGTTCAGAACCACGTGTGCTTTCTCACACGTACTAGTCCACAATGTGGACAGAGACTTAGATACCAAATATACCTAACATCTCCAATAGTCAGACAGACTATTAGCAGGGCTTATAGTGTGGTCAAGCCTAGTAGACGATGTAGCAGTGAGGTCCTCACTCTACCCTTGCTAGGCCTTGGCCGCTACAGCTACTGCACATTCACCCGCAGGTTACTAGGTTCGCTGTTCTGACTCTAGCGAGCGTATGAGCTTACTACCTCTTGAGAGCGAGTACGATTGCACGAGGGTTCTAGAACTGAGAACATTCAGAGTCACAGGTGGAAGAGGTTATCTTCCAGCTGCTGCTCCGCCCCTTTATATAGTCGCAGACCTACATATAGTCTGGGGTACTAGTACAAGGGGTCTCCTACAGCTATTCATAGAGTAAATGAAATAGACCGAGACAAATACTAACTGCTGCGAGCCAAGTAATTGGCGAGCTAATGTTAGTACAGGTGAAATAGAAACCTGAAACACGAAGGTCTTGTTTGCATGGCCTGAGTGAGTAAATCATAAAAACAAAAACTGCTAACCCTAGAATATGTCCACAAGACCTATGAACCATAAATAGTAAGTGTCACGTGCAACGTAAACTGTCACGTGACCATGAAGCGCTGAAACTGTAACACCATGAAAGAGAGCGCACTGCATTGTCGATTGCATTTGGTGATATCGAGATACCCATGTGTGCCAGTGCCTTGATGACCTTGCGTGGTGTGTTGCAAGCATGGAAGAAAATGCCATTGACCACAGCCAATGCATTACAATGTTGACTGAGTGAATGCATCATAATTGACAAGATGATGACTGTTTTCTGTAAATAGTCTTAGTTTTACAGTAAGGTTATAACATTAGCATAAACCTACGATTCGCCCCAGTGCATTTCGTCTTTGTAGAAGTATTGCTTGCTGGTGTTTTGTATGGCTAGCTTCATCATCCTGCTGATCAAACTCCACGTCTTCACCAAGTGCCATCCAGTACTCCAGTTCCTCAGAATCCAACACTTCTTGACCATCATCTGTAGAGCCATGGGATGAGTTCTCTTTTGAGAGTAGACATCCAATGAGATCCCATAGCTCTGGGGCCAACTCCTCCATTGCGACAGCCATGTCCTCAACATGAAAGCTCTGGATCTGCTCAGCGCTGCTTCGAAAGGCATTGAGATGCCAGCCATTGCTTGTGTGTACAAGGCGCTCAACAGACTTCAAGTAGTACCCCTTCATGGCATCATGTGCCCATGTTTGTGTTATTTGAGATGTTCGTCTGTTCTGCAAAAAGAGCGGCAAGGTGTTACGGTTTTAGCGCTTCATGGTCACGTGACAGTTTACGTTGCATGTGACACTTACTATTTATGG